CAGAATCTGACTCTAAAGCTGCAAATTCGCCGTCCAGCTCATAGTCAATAGACACCAAAGTCCGGCCATTATCGTCATCTCTCCCTCGGTCTTTAGTTGCCGCGTTAATATTGATTTTTTCGTTGTCTTCTTCATCACTGCTGGTCTCCAGATCTTTATCAATTTCGTCGGCAATCGCATCAAACAGCACAGCCTTTTCAGCAGTTTCAACCACTAAACGTGTTTCAACATATCGTTTTCGACATGTTTCCACCTGTTCGTCTTCACTGCTCTGCAATTCCTTGTCGATTTCACTCTGTACCGCCGCATCAAATCCACTTAACAGCGACACTCCAGCATCAGTGTTCGTCTTTTGTGCTGTTAAAACGTCGTGTTTCTTCGTTTCAGCAAACTCATCGTCGCTAAAATCCAATTCTTTGACGATTTCGCTCGAGACTGTCGGATCAAACGCGATTAACTCAGAGTTTTCTCCACTTTCCATTATACTATTTCGTGTCAGCTTTTCGCCAGTTTCGACGTCGGAATCGCTAAAAGCCAATTCAGCATCCAACGCCGCACTAGTTTCGTGCCGGAATGTCGTTGAGTGTCGTCCTATAAGCTGTATCGGCTCTGCATTCATCGTTAAACTGTCCTCCAGTGCCTCCTTTGGTGAATGTCGCGAGAGTTTCGGCACCATTTGATCCATTTGTGTCTGGGTGGACGTTCTGCCTCTCTTTCTGGACGTAAAAGTGTCCACTACAACGTCCACCGTCTGCACTTCCGTGTCCACCATTGTCTTTTTGATAACTCGTTCTACTTGTCCACTTAACACTGTCTGACTCGTACGCGTCACCTTGGTTTTCTCGTCTGTTTGGGTCGAAACATGCGCTTGTTTTTTCGCTTTTACCTGATTCAACGCGCTTTTATGCAGCTCTTTAGTTTTCGCATGCGCAGTTTGTTCTGTCTTCAGCTGCTGTTTCAGCGTTTCTTCCGCTCGTAAAAGCGTTTCAACACGAAGACGGTATTCTTTCAGCCGCACCGCCGCCTCTTTGAGCTTGGACTTGGTCAGCTGCTTGTACTCGCTGCCCTTCTGCACCTGCTTCTTCAGCCGCGCGATGGTCTCGGCCTGACGCTCGATGATGTCCGCCTGCGAGATCTGCGCCGCCGCGGGGACATTGGCGTCGTCCATAGTCACTCGTAATATGACTGAATGAATGGCTGTGTTATGATTTTTATAGCTTGACCTGAATTATAGGTTTTGTCTATGTAGGTTAAGCTGGAATGGCCTACATTTGCATGTCACAGTAATATGGCTACATCGTACTAAGATGGCTACACCTTAGATGAAGGCACCGATGGGAGGATGTTCCGGACACACTGCTCTCATTCTTCGTTTCGCAACAACCACTCGAGCTCCAACACGGGATTCTGTGTCTTAATTTGTGTCTTAATACTAGCTTGCAAAGACGAAGTTAAGTATTATATCCGGTTTTGTCGCGGCGGAGCTGCGACAGAGACGATGGCGGGCGTGGAAGCTGAAAATTCTACTTCGGAGGATGCAAGTCGACACTGCAGCAGAGGCAGAATTACTGGTGCTTTCGTATCTACCCATGCCTTTTCGAAGTTCGACAACATATGGGTTTCTGAAAATACTGTCGATTCTAACACTGACTTGGTGGTACCTTGGCACTAATTTCTTCGTCAACAAGCCATCAACTGCATCTGATAAGTATGCGACCATGCGTCAATTAAATGCAGCCACGGACACTCCAGCTTCCATGGAGAAGCCAGTGTCAACGTCGGCGCCGTCATCTTTGGATGCACCGAGCCCGCGACTAAGCTCTCCTGTATACCAGGATACTCGTGAATCCCTGGTATTTCCAATGCCAACCCGTCAAGGACTTGGTTGTTGCCGAGCTGTGGGGTTAGTGCGAACTACAACGAGCTGACAAGCGGCACCACTGACGCCGTATGCCGATACTAACGTATTATAAATGATAGGTACTCGCAATGCGTCCCAACAGAGAACTTCTATGGTAACTTCATATCAACTAGCTCGATTTTATAACTTCGATTTCACAAACCATTATTTCTCTTTCCAAAGCTTTTTGTTGTTTTGTAACAAGCAAGGTAGATTTCCCACCT